GACAAGAGTATACCTCTCTTTCCAACCTTACCAACCAAATAACATCTTCTTTTGAAACCCAACACCATGCCATAATCAATGACTCTGAACATCTCTGAACAAGCCTGAGCCAAGAGATTGATTTCAACAGATGATAGGATTATCTGTAATGTCTGCTTAATTCGTTACTGTATTAAGGAAAATTTTTATACATGTGAAGGGATGTAATTGCCTACTCTAACTTAACATTAATTGGGAAGGTATCTGATTGGCCAGATGTAGTGTTGCAGGCCTTTAATCCCAGCATGCAGGAGGCAGAGTTAGGAGGATCTCTGTGAGTTCAATGCCAGCCTGGTCTACATAGTGAGTTCCAAGACATCCAGGACTATACAGTGAGATCTGGTCTAAAAAGAAAAAAGAAAGGAAGGAAGATTTGACCCTAAAAACGAATAGAGATGTAGTCAGAATTATAGATTATGTACATAATATTCACATCTTCTCTTCAGTGTCATTTATAATACCAGAACTGTTTTAAAATAATCTGATAAAAGTTTAGTCATATGAAGGTATCCTATATAAGATCTTCTTTAGCAACATTAATTGACATGAGAAAATGTTCATAATTTTAATGAAAAAAATGGGAATTCATACTTGTTATCAATTTTTGAAAAGAAACATATAAACAATATGCATATATTTCAATACCAAATGCCAACACTAGTACAAGCTTCATTTCATTATAGAGATCTAAGAGACATTTCAATAAAAGATTATTATATAGAAAATGGGTTTGTAATCTGTGGTTTGACAGTTTAGGTCAGTCAGCAAGCAGGGATAGTTTTATGAGTGGGTGACTTGCTAAGTCTTTATCTGAATAGAGAGAAGTTTAGAACAATATTTTAACTTATTTTTGAAAGACCACAATAGTGAATTTGATTAGTTAGGATAGTGACCTGTTTGGTCACTTATTTTGAGTTGGACAAGATTCGTGTTTTGTCTTGTGTACAGACATGATTATGGAGTTGTCCTCATTTGGTCTTAATCTATTACAGTTACACAATGCTCTTATTTGGCATCAGTGTTTTGGAAAATGGTTTATGCTCACAAAGAGAACAGCAAAGCTTAGATGGTAGAACCAGGCCTGGCTCCTAGCAACACCAAGGCCAGCTAACAGCACTAGGCCAGCTCCTGGATGTCAATGACTGATTCTCTTTTGCATCTCACACACACAAAAAGATTATAATTATTCTTATCATTTTCTGGCTGTTTGTGAGATTCTAAGTACTATTTTAAGTGTTTTATATCCTTCCAAACTATTTAAATCATCACAGGAACTCCATGGAGTACATAGTATTATTATTCCCATTTCCCAGAAAAAAAGAACTAAAATAAAAGGGTAAATTTATTCACTTGATAAATGGTAGGTAGTAAGTAGTGGAGCAGGATTCAGTGCCATAGTTATAAATGTTACAGCCTTAGTTCACTCTAGTGTTTACATGTGCAAGTAATTTTTAACAGAGGTTACTTTTAAAAGGTGGTGGGCATAAAGGGAGACAGGTATCTTCCCTTCTTTCTTATTTTCTAAATTTTACAGTATTACTATGCATTAATAAATATTTAATAAGGTAAAGAAATCATCTATGAATAGACTGACAGAAGCTCTGTTCCCAGTGTTACCATCCCAAATCCAAACCAAAGTCTTCAGAAGTGGTCGTGCTTCCATAGAAGTCTAAAAGGAGAAAAACACTGTGCAAAACACGTGCACACACATACACACTTTTCTCCCTCCTGTCTCTTTCCTTTCCTCTTTGCCTCTTCCAACTCTTTTAGCTTAATTTAAGCAATGCTAACTGTATTGCATATAATAAAAAGATTGCGGAATATTCGCTATCAGGAGGTTTTGACTCTGCATCAAAGTGGGCAAGGTAGAAGTCCCCTCTCCTGGAGATACACAAGGACAGAGTTGGAAGAATGAGAAGACAATGCCTTGGTCTCAAAGAAACTGATCTGTGTGGGAGGGCAACACAGCTGGGCAATGCAGTGTCTCCTGGTCTAAGATTCCGTTCCGGAACTGCAGAGAGAGAGAGAGCACTGGGATCTTTAGGCTGCAGAAAGGCTGGTATAAAAAAGCAAGGAATTCTAGGGATGAAAACTAAGCAAGGTTGTGAGGGAACTATTTGGAAAGACAAAGATTTCAGAATGAAGAGCTTCGCCCAAATGTTAAAGGTTGCCAAGTAGACCTGTGTGTTGATTTCTGTTCTCTTACTTTTGTCCCAGGGCTGGTGGTACCAGGATTTGTGGAACAGAGACAGATGTTAAGCCTCCTGACAGGTGCCCACCCACCACCTGCGACTAGCTTAGTGGAAATGAGCTGGGTTCACAATATTTCCCGCTGCCACCCTCACCCTGCACCCTTCTCTCTTGTTCTTTACCGGACTGAGTACTCAGAGCAGCCACCCTGCCTTTTAGCACCTCAACTGCTCTTGTATGTATGTGTGTGTTGGGGGGGGGGAGGTGTTCCAGTGCTGGTGCCCTTGCTGCAACTCGTGCTACCTCAGCGCTTGCAGGGGCACAAGTCAATGAGGCTTTTCCCTCCGCGATCATCGTGAATCAGCAAAGCGCTGCAGAGCAGCAGCATCTCAGGGAGCAGAAATTAAGATGCTGGGGGAAGGGCACAAACGGAATGTGGCAGGGGAATTTCTAGCCGGGCTCCGTACGTCCTTCCTAAGAAGGGCAATATAGAGTGCAAGGGGGATGTGGGCTGGAAGCTGCGGGACTCCAGAGGAGCCTTCGAAAAGAGAGCTGTTTGGCGAAAAGCGGGACTGGCAGAGAGAAACCAGCAAGAGACAGGTGGAAGGACCTAGGAAGCAAGCTCAGGCCGAAATGGACAAGTGTGTCTGTCCCCAGGGTGGACAGATTAGCCTTTGCAGGCATTGCTGAAGGATCATAGATGTGGTATAGGGAAAAGAACGGGAAAATTTAAAAAAAGATTCCCAGTTCCACGACTTCCTATCTCCAACGTGCAAGTTCTCAAGTTCAGTTTGAGAAGTAAAGGGACCCATTGGTGTTGGGGAGTCTAGGAGGATGGGGAATGTTAGGAAAATGCCTCTATCAATCGCGTTCTCCCCCTCCTGCCCAGGGCTGGCTTGTCTGTCTCTGTCTCTCTGTCTGACTCTCTCTCTCTCTCTCTCTCTCTCTCTCTCTCCTCTCTCTCTCTCTCCTCATCTCTCTCTCTCTCTCTCTCTCATCTCTCCTCCTCTCTCTCTCTCTCTCTCTCTCTCTCCTTCTCCCTCCCTCGCTCCCTCCCTCCCTCTCCCCTCTCCCTTATTCCCTCCCTCCCTCCCTCCCTCTCCCAATCTCCCTCCTCCTCTTCCTCCTCCCCCACTATTCCCTCTTCCCTCAGCTTGGATTAATATGCATGCCCATGCTCAGTAGTATGTGCCACACTCAAGGGACCGCGCCTCCCGCCACCGACACTTCCCATTCGACCCTTGGCACTTAGAGGTCGAGCAGACCAACCAGAGGTTTGGGGTGGACAGATCAAGCTGTTGGAGCTCTGAACATTAGAACCCCTCTTTGTGCTCTGGTTCCCACCCCCAAACCCTGGCGGGACGGGCGCCCTCAGTGACCCAGACTCGGTGGATCCCACTCAGTCTGCATGGACAGACCCCGGGGCTTAGAGCGCGCAAAGAAATGCGCTAAATTGTACCTGTGCGTGGCCGTTCCTGCCGCCGCAGGTCTATCCCAGGCCGAAGCCGGCGCCCGCCTTCTCGGGGAAATCTCCCCAGGGGAAGTGTGAGGGGAACCACAGTGGCTGCCAGCTAGCTCATGGCTGGCGCGCACACGCACAAGCCCAACTTTGCCAAGCCTTCAGAGCCCCTCGGGCTCCCCCGCGCCCCCTGTGGCTCGACATACTCAGAGACTAGTATATCTCCTGGTCTGAGATAAGGGTCCCCCTACTCTCACATTGTCGTGTGTGGAGGAGGAGCAGATGGAGTTAGGGAGAGAAGGGGTTTAAGTACTGACTCCTGACTAGCCTTCCCTAAACAATCTACACCCTCAGGGGCGCCCGCACCAGCTCCGCTGCACCAGATCCCCCAGACCTGCCAGTGACGACAGAGAGAGGAGGAGGAGGAGAAGGAGAAAAAAGAGGCAGGATGGAGATAGGGGAGTCTGGCCACAGACTCCACGGACTGACTGAGTGTCATTATCAGCACTTTTTTTTTATTGGGGAACGGGGTGGGGAGGGTGGTGGAGGGACGTGCAGCAGAACTGTCCAGTTTAATCCACTCTGGAACGACCCAATTTGGGGCTCAGGAGAAAGATTGTCCTCGGACACATTTGGGGTGGACGGACTCCAGACGCACACTGGTCCCCTGTGGTGCCCCTGGGAGCTGCAGTGTTGGGGCGATCTTAAATGGCTCTTACTTGGGAGGAGGCGTGATTTCCACGCTGGAGCGTCTCGGTTCCCCACCCCCTCTCGGCAACAGCCAGTGCGCGCCACCACCTGAGCCTGGCAAGAGCTGGGGCGCACGCAGTCCTCAGCCTGCTTCTTTCCTCGTCTGGAGAGACTTGGCTCGAAGCGGGTCTGCCCGACGCCCCCATTCTACCCCCTAACGGGAGAACTCTTTTACTTTTTTTGTTTGAAAAATTCGGGCCATCTCTTTATTTATCTCCGAGTCTCCCGGGAGGAGGCCAGGGGGTGGGGTGCGCTTGGCCCGCCGAGCCGGGGGAGGGGGAGCGCGCTGAGAGGAGGGGACTGGGTGTAGCCTGGAATTCTCCGTCCTCGTGTTCCAGGCTGGCGCACAGAGTCTCCCGGCGCTAGCGCCACCGCCGCCGCCGCTCCCCGCGCCATCCCGTCGTTGGCTTCGGGGATCGGGTGAGTGGGGTCATGACGCGCCGCGGGGGCCGCTCCCAGCCCCGCCCGCGCTGAGCGGGGGACGCGGCAGTGTAGCGTGTCGCCCCCCAGGCCGGGAGGGCAGCAAAGGGTGGGGAGGGCGCCCCGGGTAGGGCGGGGGGTGGGGGCGGCGCGGAGACCGCCAAGCTGGGGGGCTCTCCGGGCAGGCGCGGCTGCGGGCAGGAGGGCGTGTCTCCAGCCGGAGGGGACCCTCCCGAGACGCGGCGCGGGACTCCCCGATGGTGGTGCCGCCGCTCCAGGAGAGCTCAGGGTCTTGCCTCCGCCGCCGTCGCCGCCGCCGCCGCGGGCGCCACCACCACCACCGCCGCCCGCCGCCGCCGCCGTCGCCCGAGCCCGCGCCGAGCGTGCGCCTCGCCCTCCTCCCGCGCCCGCTCTGCTCTAGGATGCTGCGGCAGGTTCTGCACAGGGGGCTTGAGGACGTGTTTCCTCCCCGGCTTGGCCACTTCATTGCCAGTCACCCGGTCTTCTTCGCTTCGGCGCCGGTGCTCATCTCCATCCTGCTCGGCGCCAGCTTCAGCCGCTACCAGGTCGAAGAGAGCGTGGAGCACCTGCTGGCGCCCCAGCACAGCCTAGCCAAGATCGAGCGCAACCTAGTCAACAGCCTCTTCCCGGTCAACCGCTCCAAGCACCGGCTCTACTCGGACCTGCAGACCCCTGGGCGCTACGGCCGGGTCATCGTCACCTCCTTCCAGAAAGCCAACATGCTGGACCAGCATCACACGGACCTGATCTTAAAGGTGAGAGCCGGGCGGGTGCGGGCAGCCCCTGGCGGCGCGGCTGCGGCGACCGGGCAGGCTCCGCGCGGGGGTCCCGGCTGAGAAAGCCGCCTCTCCTATCCCAGGCGGTGGCTGCCCTACAGGGGCTCCCCTGCACTTCGCGCCCCTGGGCAGGCAGCCTGGAGTCTCTCAGGCACCAAGGTAGGGAGTGTCCGGGTCCGGGTCCCGGTCCCGGCCAGGCCCTGCCCTTACTGCCTCTGCTGTCACCCCGCAGCTGCTGCAACAGTTGGGGCGGCGGCGGCCGCCACAGTGCTTTAGTCAGTGCCGCTTGTTTTGGTCGCAGTGGGCTTGGGGGCAGGGAAGCTTTGGGATAACTGGGCCAAGAAGAAGCGGAACAAGAGAATACATTCAAGAAAGTCCCGCTGCTTGAGAACAAAATTACTATGCAGGAGGAAGGAGGTGAGGTTCAGAGACACCGTTCCCCTATCCCACATTTGTCACCTCCCTTCCTCTAGCCCCCCCCCCTAAAGTGTTTTGGGAAAGGTTGGTGTGGGTTGTATGTAAGGGACAGAGAATGTGAGTTGGCATGCTAAGGAAAATAACACCCACCCTCAACCAACCAAAAGTGCAGTCTCTGGTGAGGACCGGGGCAGCCACCAGCCCGCTCCTCCCGGAGCAAGGTAGCCATTTATGTATTTGAGAGTGGGAAATGGTGCTGGCAATTCAGTTATTTCATCTTTCATAGTACTTTCAATGCACTTAAATACAACTTCTTTGGGAAAAGAGAGAAAAGGTTGATATACTTTTATTTGGGTTTATTTGAACGCGTGGGTGAGGGGCAGATCCAGAGGCCAGAAATCAGGAGCCGGGATGTGGCCCTGAGAACATAACAGGAACACAGAACAGAAACTGGTTGTGCCATCAGCCCCGGAGGTGGGAATTTGATGTGCAAAGTGAGGTTAATGGTGATAACTTTCAAGAAGTTCCCAAGGAAAGCTGAGGAGTGAAGACTAGAAAGGGAAAAGTGGAAAGACCATGAGAGCAAAAAAAGAAAAATAAAATAAAAGTGAGAACGTTTCATCTGAATCTAGGTGGAGACTATGAGGTTTGTTTACTTCAGCTTCTGCTCTCTGGAGGGCAGACAGGAACCAGTCCCAGCTGAGATGCCAGAGAGATGATGGAAAGTGCTGGTTTCCTGTGGGGTCTCTGGGAATAGTGGAAGGTTAGATTCTTCCTTCTGCCAAAGGGAGTCTGCTAGCGAGCCTGGGGGAACTCTTTACTCTGTCTCTTCCTCTCCAGGTAACCACGTGTCCCTAGAGACAAGCTCATTTTCCTCTATAATTTCCCTCTCTGTTTGTTGACACGCTATTCACCAGCAATTAGTAAAGAGGGGGATCTGGCTGGGGACTGACTGGCATTGGAACATTCTCACATCCAGTGGACTGTGGTATTTCTAATGGCACACAAATCATTGCACATATTCAGTTATTGCAGAACCTTATTAACATTAGCCCTGAGATGTTGGTTTCTTCTCAGAGGTTGTTTTTCAACATCAAAGTGGGCTTCCTTTTTTTTTGTTTTTTTAATACTTCAGAGCATATATTGTGATACAGAAAAATACAGTTAGGAATGTTTATTCAAGAATGTGTGTAGTAAAACTATCACAGGCTTAAGGAAACTAGAATGTAGCAAGTCTGGCCAGTCGGAAATACTTCATTTTTTTATAGATGATCTTCTAAGTTGTGTTTCTCCTTGGATTCCCCCCCACCGAGGTGTTTCCATTGGCTTTTTTCTCCCTCTCTAACAAACCACCATGCCACTGTGACAGGCAGTCACCAGTTACATTCACGTCAAGGTTAATGAGACATCATCAACAGGCATATCAGACGTTTTTGCAATTATATTCTTTCTGTTTGCTGTTGACTGGTTCAAAACAAACCAAAAAAGCATATTATAAGAAGGCTGGGACTGGAGAGAAACAGGCTGGATTTGTCTACATGTCAAAGAAACAGTCTTGAAGTCAGTGGACTGTTTCTAAAAAATGGGATGATTTTTTTCATGGTTTAGGTATATGGGTAAAAAACAAAGCAAAGCCAAATGATGGTCAGAAACTCATTTCCAGATGATGGCTCTCTAGTCAAATCAATTGGTACAGCTTTATAACAACGCATACTTATGAAACATAGGGAATTGCCTTTGATTTTTAAATTGGATATCCATTTAATTCTTTATATACTCTACTCAACCCCTATTTTTGGTTGGTATGGAGCAGGGGGATAGGAAAATGGCTCTTCAGTAGTCATGGCAATGTAAAGTGTGGGAGTGAGCACTCCCCCCACCGGTTTTTTCTACTTAGAGACATGATGACTTGTCCTTTTCAAAAGGTATTGGGAGTGAAAGTGTTACTGTCCCTGTCACTGCTATGTAATCCCCATACTTTGTTATTAGCATCAAGGACAGTACCACAGACATTTAACATTATACACTAACAACCTCTGTGCATTTTATAGCATCTCATTTGAAGTTAAATGAGTAGGCAGAGCTGGAGCAGGGCTTGAGTTTTCTGGGTATTGCCAAACTGCAGGAAGCAACTTGTAGGGGCTGCATAAGGTACTTCAAGCATAATGTTTTTCTCTACATAATACCATTCAATGAAGGATATTGTTCTTCATGTATTAGGACACTTAATTGCTGAAGAAAAATAAAAAGAGAAAAGAAAAGAAAAAAAGGAGAAAAATAGACTGAAGGTAGTTATGACAAAAAAAGGTTGACTTTTAAAAATGTTATTAGGAGAATAGCAGGGAAAAGTCTGTTTGAAAATCTCATTAATCCTGGTTCAAAGGTGCTTTCTCAAATTTGTGCAAATGATGTGATTATGTTACTCTACTGTGTAGTAAAGAATTCGACCCCATACTGTGTAGGAGGTGACTCTCTCCAGCAGCCTCTGAAGGCTGCAAGGCAAGTTTATGAGTTTAGGCAGAAGTGGATAGAGTCCAGTGCTGTTAAGTAGGCCTCAGCAGTTCATTTTTGAACCCCTTTAAATAAACACTGATCTTCAAACGTCTTTATTTTACTACACAATTACATTTAGCTCCTTATCCTTTTAACAAAAAAACAACGATGATCATATCAGCTAGTTTCAAAGTAGGGCTTCACGGACTTTTTGGATAAATATTTTCATGATTATATAAGAAGAAATGTAAGGACATCCCATTGCTAATTAATCCAGGCTATAGCCAAGGAAATACTGGATTTATCCTAGAATCATCCATGTAGAGAGAAGAATTAGTATAGCTGAGTCCTCAGAACGTTCTTATGTTCTTATCATCTTTGCCCCACTTACAAGTTATAAGCATATCCTATGTTTAGATACATTGAGGTAGTGCCTCTACCACATCTTACAGGAAGACAGGGTACTCTTTAGAAGTTAACTGACTTATCCATGAAACAAATACAAAGACAGAACTGGAACACCAATTTGAACTATATCCTAGTGTTCTTTTCAGGATATTCCAGTCCACTGTCTTTCATATGATAAACTACTTTAATGATTTTAAATCAACATTTTTAAATTACCCAAATGAAATATATTTGACCAAAGTCTAATTTATATCCTCTCTTATACTGTCACTCTAATTGGAAAATTTTCTATTACACACACACATACATACATACATACATATATATATATATATATATATATATATATATATTCCAAACACACAAAGCAATACTTGTTTTTCATTATCAATATATTAAAACATGAAAGATAAACATGACTGTTTTCCTGATAAAGTGCTTGTTCTCTGGCAGAGTCCAGGCACATTCTATCCTAGGTCACCTACAGCCCCTGGCAGATACTTGTTACTCAATAAATACTTGGTGAATAGACCCTTTCTCACTTAGTAAAGCATTTATGCAATAGGTAAAGAAAAATCCATAGAGGCTACCTTGAAATGTAACTTCAAAATGGCATTTCAATTTTTATAACTTTATAAGCAGTTCCCAAGCAAACATCAAGTTTCTGTCCTTAATAACCTCTGCAGTCATAGCAAAACATATTTTGGCTTTCAAACTGATTAGGAGAATTTCCTTTGATATATATATATATATATATATATATATATATATATATATATATCCTCAAAGAAACCCCACAGGATATTTAATTCCATACCAGACATATCCTCTCACTAAGGATGTGGTTTTTCATTTACTAGGGAATCTCATTTGGCTCAAATATTGAGTTTCCATTTTATTTAAGCTGTTCATGTTCATGTTTAAGTACATTTGATAGAATTAAATTGCAAACAAGATTAATAGAATTTAACTTAGAGGTATTTGATTCAGGCATTCTGAGAAGGGCAACACAACTGCTAGCTTATGGTAATTAAAAAAAAACAGTATCTAGATGAAGATTCCAGCTTATGGAAATTGCCAGAAGAAATAATAATCTATTTTTTAGCTAAATAGTTTTTACACTTAAATTGTTTTCAACAGAACAAAATATACACCAGGGACTGTTTGGGTCTGTTATGCTTAAACATTTACCATCTGATTATTTACATATGAAGTTCCTACATAGTATTCTAAAAGTCCAGTATTGGGGTCATTTCATGATGTCATTATTATTAAAATAACTCATAAAGCAGTATTTTTCAACTGGAGATAACCGTGCCCCCACCAGGGAACAGCAAAATCTAGTGATATCATTATTATTATTTGTTGTTGTTGTTGTTATTGTCATAATGATGGTGAAGACATTGTGCTATTGATATTTAGTGGATAGAGGTCAGAGACACTGCACAGCATTCTATAATGCCCCATGTAACAGCCCTCCAAACAAGGTATTATCTGGCTGCAAATGACAGTCATGTCAAGTTAGAAAAATCCTCTTCTTTATGTGTTTGCATTTATTGAGACTTTTTTCAGCTATACTGATTAATAGGAAAAAAATATCAAAGAGAAGTTCATACCCTAAAGTCTTACTGAACATTGGGGACCAATGTTCTGATGTGTGA